GAAAGAGAGAGAGCACGCATGCTTGCCACAGATGGAAGCCGCGGAGCGCCCCCTAGCAGCGACGGCGGCCTACGTCCGGAAATTGTCGCACTGCACTGCACTGCATTGCCATGCACTGCACTGCGCCGTGCCCGCGGTCTCGCAACCGCGAGGCTCCCCCTCCACCAGGCGCCCAGCACCACCCCTGTTCCCCCAAACCAGGCCGGCGCCTGCCAACCGGCCCCCGCCGCCCCCGGCCCCACGCCCGCCCCTGCCCCCCTCACCTGGCGCCCCGAACCGCGCGTTGATGCGCGCCACCACCTGCCGCACGCATTCGTGGAGCTCAGCCAGCTCCTTGCCGCTGCTGCGGGGCTGGTTGGTGATCTGATGGAGGGGATTGCAAGGTTTCAGAGTCGGGGATCAGGCGGGGGGTCGGGGAACCTGAGCAGATGGGGCTGTCTGGCAGCCCCAACTGGGGGCGATCGGGGTCGCCGGTCGCACAGGTGCGGCAGCGGGTGCGGCAGCGCACGACGAGGCGAGCCGGCGCCGGCTGCGGCGCGCCCGCGCCGGCACATGTGCGCGGACACATGCACACATGAAGGCATACGGGCGTGCGCCCATGCAGCCCCCTCCTCCCCGCATTGTCGCCCACCTGTATGAGCACCGCGTGGCCCACAAATTCGGGGTGCTCCTCCAGCACGCGCTCGTAAGCCTGCAAGGGGCGTGGCGGGCGACGCTCAATTCTGGAGCGGCCCGGCTGGCAACCCTTTGCTCGCACTCGGCTGCAACGAAGCCGCCCTCCCGCCGCCCTCGGTTTTGCGGGGCAGCGTTCCGCATTGTTTGCGACCATCACACTCTTAAACCCTCCACTAAAGTTGCAGCGCGATAAAATTTCGGATTTGCTACCTTTCGGGCGTCCCGAGACCCGGGTTCGATCCCCACCTGCAGCTTGAGCTCTATGCCCTTGAACACGTCCATGTCGTCCACGCCCACCAGCAGGCTGCGGCCCTGGAAGTCTGACAGCAGCTCCCCGCGCCGCCACTGGAACTCGGGCCAGCTGAAGCCCTCGAGCAGCCGCCGGGGGTTGACGCCTGGGCGTAAGTTGCGCGCGCGCGCGTATGTGTGTGTGTGTGTGTGTGTGTGTGTGTGTGAGAGAGAGCGGAGAAAGAAATGCAGATGGCAGGTAGATTTGTGACTAGTAGGGCGTCGCGGACTAGGGTTGCAATTGTGTGCACTTGTTGCGTTCGCCCCAGGTGCGCACAGCAAGCGTCGACTGCCCAGCGGGCCGCCCTGCAAATTCCTCACCCGTGGGCATGATCTGATTGCTCCCTCCCTACCCCCCAAACAAAACCAGCCAGCCAGCCACCCCACCCACCCCTCACCTGTGGGCATGATCTTGATGCCCACGTTGCGGCCGTAGTACTCGACGCTGATGGAGCCGCGTGTGGTCTGGTGCTCCAGCCCCAGCATGCGGCTGCAGCACGACAAAAAGTGGCGCGCGTAGTCAAACGTGTGGAAG